GTTGGGACAGGCTGCCCAGAGGGAGGGTGAAATCTCCACCCGTAAGCGCAGGCCATGCAGACACTTGACTGGGATGGTTTAGACAGGGGCAGTCCTGCCTTGAGCAGGGGCCTGGACTAGATGTGACCTCCTGAGGGGCCTGCCAGCCCGACCGCCTTGGGATTTGATGACTTCTGAAAACCCTGCAGGTGTCTGTATTTAAAAAAAAAAAATGGCACGTCCCCTCAACGCCTGCCCAAAAGCTGTGGAAACCAATTCAGTCTGCCTCGGATGGAAAAATTCAGAGAGAGATTATCAGTTCCAGCATGAACTCCAGCGGAGAGTTCACAGCTGGAAGGTGTCTGTTTGATTTTGTGTTCTGGGCAGGATGGGAGCTGGAGGGAGCACAGCCCTATTGCTTTCAGCTGGAGACAACTGGAGGACCGATTCCTTTGCTGCGGTACGGTACGTAAGGAAGCTGCATGCACCCTGCACAGTGAGAGCCCGTGTTTGCAGGGACAGGTGGCGTTACAACTTGATTGGCAGCCAGGTACCAGCACGGGTGATTATTGCCCGGGACGCCTTCGATTTCAGCAGCGCACTTCTGGTGTTACAGGCAGCCTGTCACGGGGCGAGACTTCAGAAAGGCGGCGTCTGCGTTTCCCCATGCTGATCACACTGCCCTGCGGCTTCCCCCTGCAAGCTCCGGGGCCTGGCTAGAAGGGCAGCAGCGCCGAGGGCCTGGGCAGTGAGTCACAGCCCCTTTGCAGAGGTGGGCATGGGGCAGGAGATGCAGGACCATGTAGCACAACTGCCTGCCTGGGCTACAAGCCATTTCAGGTGGGCGCTGGAAGGCGACAAAACCAAAGCTTCTCCGGTATTTCACTTGCAAACCCAAATACCAAAGCAAAGTCCGAGGTGGCATCTGGGAACTGCTGCTGAGGGCGTGGAGAGGACCGCTGGCCCAGCTCTGGCACGGGGGCTCTGACCAACGGCGGGCAAGTCGCACGCTCCATGCCTCGAAGGCCATCTGTACCGGAGATGTTTCCAGGCTGGTCTTTCCACTGCAGTCAGGATATTCAGATGTGTGTGCCTACATAGACGTAGACATGTGTTCATTTAATCAAAAGCAAGACCCGGTGAAGGGAGTTGATGTCCGGAGGTCATTGCGCGGGTCACGGGAGGAAACGAGCAGGGTCTCCTTCCCCACCTTGCACTGCCTTCTGGAGGCTGACGCTCTCCTCTCATGAGTCCAGGCGAGCAGAGGGAGGTCTCATTTCACATCACTCCCAGCTGAGCACCGGGGAGCTGTCTCAGGACCCCTCTCCTAAATGAAACACATGCCGTGAGGACTGCACGCTTGGCCAGGGGTTATTAATCAGAGAGCTGGCGCGGTGCATCGCCCAGCCCCGCCAGTCTCTGCCCGCGGTTACTCGTCGGAGGGAATACTGGGCAGCTCTGATGTGGAGGGGCACGGGCTGACGTAGCTTCTGGCACATGCTTAAACAGAAAGAGAGGTCCTTCGTGTATGTGCAAGCCCAGCCTTCATTCATTGCCTTTATTGGATGCTCACAGATCACCTTGTAGCAGCGTAATCGGATCCATCTTTCCTTAATCAGACACATGTGTCATCCAAATCAATAGCTCATAGGCTAGGACCATCCGTGATATGACTGACTCACGCGCTAGGAGGCTCTAAATCCCAGCTTTGTCTCAGGCTGCTTGGAGCTCTCTCTGCTGGGTGTGGGTTTCCTGGCTGACAAAACCTATCAGGGAAAGTAATGAGAGATTACCCTGAGGAAACGCAGGGCACCGACACGCCAAGGCATGGGGAAGATCACCCCTCCGTACCCGGAACTGCCTCCTGCAGTGTCATGCAGGGGGTTAATTACAGTAATAACCCCCGGTTATTTGCTGATTACTAACAGGGCAGCGGGTGCTGTGTGAGATGAAACCAGATCGAACGTGGCCTGTTAAATGAAGAGTTAACTTTAAACGGAGCATGCTTTTCATGTTATTTATTACTTAACGAGTTGCCAGTCCCAGCTCCATCATGAAGCCCACCCTGGGTTTGGCACTTGCATCAAGGCTTCCGTCACTTTGCTATAGATGGGAGCCTCTCCTCCCATTTGGGTGCATTTAGCATCGAAGGAGCTGTCCCAGAGCTTGCAAATCAAGCGCGCAGTGAGTCCAGTGGTTCTTCCTGGGTTTTCTGGAAGGAGAATGTGTCATGCGCAAATCTCTCCTACTCTCCCTGGCTTGGTCCCTGCTCGGGCCTGGCTTCTTCGTGCTTCAGCTGTCGTGAAGCAGAGAGGCACGGAGTCGCTCCTTCCATGCAGCTCGGCGGAAGGCTGCTTAGCACATCTGTCAGCCTTCAGCAGATCCACGAGGTCTCGAGATGAAAGCTCCGGTCCGTGGCAGCCGTGAGCACTTCCAGCCTGACGGCGCCGAGTAATCCTTGTCGCTGCAGTCGCGGAGGCGGGGAGGAAATGTCCGTGTACCACTCAGAGGAGGCCAAGAAAGCAAAGAGGAGGAATGAAGGGCAGGAGAGAGAGCGATGCAAAGTCTAGGATGGAGAGCCGGTGGCAGGACACGCTTGCAAAGGCACGGCAGGAAGAGAAGGGGGTCGGAGGGACCTGACGAGAACGGCTGGAGGATGAAGAGCCCTCCGCGGCGGGGACACCAAGGAGACAAGGCTGCTTGTCCCAGAGAGGAGATCCGCCAGCCGTGTGAATAAGAAACATGCCTGTGCGTCGCTGCCAGCGGCGGATCCCACGCAGACCTTTGGGCTGTCCTGGGACCGTGCCCTGGAAGTCACGGCACGGGGCCCCGTCTGTGGAGCGACAACCCTATGCGTTCAGACTGTGAACGAGCAGGGATGTCTGTGCTGGGAAGCGCGTGCAGCCCCTGAGGGCGACGGCCCCGTGACAGCAGAGCATCCCACGCGCTGGGGACTGCGTGATGGGGGCTGATTGGAAGTGACATGATGAACGGCCTCGTGGCTGCCGTCTCCGGTCTGCTGCCTGACGTACACTCCCGCGCTCGCATGGGCCGGCCGAGGCCCCGTGCTCAGCGCCAGCGCTGATTCATACGTCAATAAACACGGTGAAAGGAAGGCAGCTTCCCCTGCCAAGCCAAACAAACAGGATCATTCTGGTTAAGCCCAGAGAATCCCTGTGCAACAGGCTCCAAGGCCTCCGGTCTGCCCCTCCCCTCCCCGGGGAGAGCGGCTCTGCCCACCCCGGTGCTCTTGAGTGTCGCGTGTGCATTTCACACGCACAATTCCTGCTCCGGGGCCCTCAGACACGGATGCAGGCTCTGGCCACCCAGGGCTGCTGGGGACTGGCAAGAGGACTCCTCGCTGCTCAACGCAGGGTCCTCAGGGCTGCGAGCCAGGACTCGCAGGGGTCGCCCGTCCCCGCGCCACGAGCAGGTCACACTCCCTTGCACTCTGCTCTGGAGGGCAGGGGGGTGCAGGGCTACCTGAGCACGGCCCAGGGGCGAAGCTTGGAGAAGGGCAGCATTGACCGAGGAGAGACCGAGACAAGGAGGAATTATGGTTCCTGCCCACGTCTCAAGAGCCCTGCCCCACTGGCCCTACGGCACGAGCTGCAAAAGTCCAGTCCTGGCACAGGTGTTTGTAGGGAGCTCACAGCAGCACATGCCAGCTGGCCTGGCCAGCTCCAGGGACCGAGTGCCATCTTCTTGGTGACCGGCAGCTCTGACATCCGGCCCGGCTGGGTCCTGACCTGAATGCCGGGGTGTGGGCACACTTGCCACAGTGCAGCACTGGGAGCGAGCGCCAAAGCCAGGGAGCCAGAGAGCCCCGTGCCAGGAGTCTGCACTAACACCATGCCGGGGCGGGGACCAGGCGGGTGCCGCAGCACGCCTTCGACCACCGGCGCTCTTCATAAAGAAGGGCGTTGCTGTTGGCCCGGGCCCTCCTGCAGCTGCAATGAAAGTCCAATGATTGGTGTCTCTTCCTCCCTTTTTCTTATTTATTTCTAATTCAGACCTGCACTGGGGCCGGCGTACGAATGCTTTTAACCTCGTTAATGGCCTCGAGTAGCTGGGATTGCCGTGTAGAGGAAGAAGAAGAAATGCGACCGTGGACCAGAGGAAGAGAGGGAAGGGGAGCAACTGGGCCCAAGCGCCCTACGCTCCTTCGGAGGAGCAGCCCCTCAGCGGCAGGCTTCTCTCCTCAGCTGGTGGAAATCACTCAATTCCCGAATAGAGAATGAAAAATGTTTTCCATTAACACATCTGACACCCCCTCCGGCGCAGGGCTGGCAGTACTCAAGCGCTAATGAGATTTTGCTCCTTCACCAGGGGAGATGAGACAGTAATTGGGGCATGTTTCATTTTCGCGGCGGGACTGGTGGAATTAATTGACCGGGATTAACCCTCCCGTATGGGGGGGAGCAGATATTTCCTTGCCGTGTAGCGGTAGCTGGATGGTGCGGTCTGGGCTGATTAGCCGATGGTTACATGCAGGTGTCAATGAGCAGAGCTTGCCAACACGAACACTTCCTTGGTGCTCTCTGGGCAGGCAGGAGCAGGACTCGGATGCAGCGTTGTGCTAGAACAACCCAGCTCTGTTCAGGATCGGGCTTCCCCCGTTGCTCTCGTACTCCCAGTATAGTCCCTGCCCCCCAAAAGCAAAGAGAGCAGAGCTGGGCTAAAAGCAGCCATCACAACATTCACGCGCGGGGCGACCTTTGCTGCTTGCAGACCTAACGACCGTGGGCAGAAGCTAAGCCGCGCACGGGCCCGGGCAGACGTCTCTCTCCCAAGCCCGAGAGCCGTTGCAGCTGCAGTCCCAGGCTGCTGGTTCCTAGGAAGTGACCGCACCTTGGGCAACGAGAGCCAAGCCCTTGTCTTCCAGCTTCTGCTGAGAAATGACGTCTTCCCCTGCAAAAAATCCCGCCTCGATATCGTTGTTAACCAGTGCCCGGGAATGAGCGTCCGTGCCAGAACGCAATTGTGGGAAGAGACGCTTGCTCACGCAGCAAAGGAGGAAAAGAAAAACAAGGTGAGCTGCTCTCGTGTTTATGCAACGGGCCGCTTAATTGGTGACAGCTGGGATGAAAGTGCAGGGTCTCCAGGCTGGAATTTGTTTTCTCTCTCAGGGCAAAGCCGTGACGTGGGGGCAAATTCCTTGGAGAAGGCCCCTTGAGTCCGGGCCAGGGAGCATCGCACATGCAATATGGAGCCTGTTAAACATGCAAATGAGACGCTCGTTTATCTGTTCCTTGCTTGAGATCTTCACAGACGCACCAAAGACCCTGCCCTGTTCATGCACCCTGAACGTGTCATTTTAGATTCGTGGTTTTAAAACGACGCGTCGGAGCCCGCCTGCTAGACGCGCCGTTCCCGTAAGACACGCGATTTAAAACCACCGATGCAAAATGTTCCTGCCTCAGTCCAAACCCACCTCTCCTGGGCTTCACGTCCAGGCTGGATCCAGTCCACAGGACTGGGCTCTCTTTGCAGCAGTGAACTGGAGACAAACCAGTCTGGGAGCGCTGCCCTGACCCTGCCTCCAGGCTTCTCCAGGGGGTTGTGCGAAGCCCCAGGGCACCTCCGAGCAGGGCAAAGGCAGGAACCAGGCTGGGAAAGGCCAGAGATGGAGACCGTGCCTCTGAGTGTGACGTGGTGCTGAGGGTGATGGAGTCGGCGCTTTCCAGAGGCCACGGCACTTGGCGACTCCTAGAGATGAAGGGCCAGGGAAAGGGATGGTTGGGGCTGGTGATAGACCACTTCTCCATGTAAATGCCAAGGGCTCATTTCAAACTGACCAGGGCGTAAAGAGAGGAGCCGCCATGCCCCAGAGACCAGATCGTAGCTCCCCACCTGCCTGGACGGCTCGCTCGGCACCTTTCCCCACTCGCGTGGGCTTCCCAAAGAGCTGAAACACCAGCGTAGGGCCTTGGCCGTGACTCCGCTGCCAGGACTGGAGCAGGCCCTTTGCAGCCCCTTCCTCGGGGATGTCGTGGCATCCCCATTTCGCTCCAAGCGAGAGGAACTGGCGGGGCAATGCAGCCATGTTGTCACCTCCTCTCTTTCCAGGGACGGCATCAGGGTGAGAGTCGGGGCACGTGGAGGCAGTAGCCTGATCAGAGAGCCCTGCCAGCGGGGCCCAGCACCCTGGATCCAGAGCCAAGGCGTCTCACCCCTCCCTGCTGCAGGGGCAAGGATGTCGTGCCTGTGCATCTCCCATCAGGGGCCCAGGGCTCATCAAGCCAGGATGGGACGAGTTGGGGTAGGAACCATTCATTTTGGGGAGGCCTCAGCCGGCTCCCGAGATCCAGGTTGCAGCCGGGCCCCAGGACAGCTGGGGTGAAGCCTGCAGCTGCCCCTTGCCACGGACACTCCTGCTGCCCCGCTGCACAAGTGGGAAGTGTAGAAGTGGCAGAGAAAGGCAGACAGCTCCGGGGGCAGCTCGTACCCAGGCCCTCAGCTGCTGGCTAGTCGCGCAAGCTGTGTGTTCCTCGAGCAGGGGAAGTAGCTGCTCTGGCGTTCACCCCCAGGGCTGCTGCCCCAGCGTCATCACCCCATAAACATGTCAGC